AAAAAAAACTCAACTGACCAAAAAGCTGGATGGGTGAAAAGCTTCATCCATGGAACACCAGCAGTGGAGCCGGTGCTTGGTGTGGAAATTGACTTGCGTAAAATATTTGTTAACGGTATGTCTGAATCGTCCGTTGGTTGCACCCGATCGGCATGTCCAAAAGACAGTGTTCTCACACGACTCGAGTGTGGCGTGGTCATTTCACGGAATATCACCCACCAAATTAACGATATAATACCTCAAATTACATCAAATGAGTCACCGTCATACGAAGACTTATGACTGGAGAGAACGATGGAACAAATGGCATGCAATAGTTCACTTTCAAAGCCTCTATTACAAATAGAACTTATCACAAGAATAACATCACATGGATAATTCAAATTTTAGAAAAGTGTTCGACTTTCTTAACTGAGACGTATTCATAACTGCTAAATCAACAGAAACGAAAACTTAAAAGTTAAACACAAACCGACAAACTGGAATAAAGCCCTCCATCCAAATGTTTCCAGTAATATCGATCCAACACCACCTGCTACTACGGTTCTATAAAATACAACCGCTCGCAGGCGGAAGGGAAGGCAAAAAAAGCAAACGAAACGAAAAATCAGAAATCATACAATTCTTGCTGCAAGATGAATATAATACGACTTACCCAAAATGTGATCCCGCTAAACAAACACCGAATACGCGACCTTTATCAGAGGCTGTTAGATGCCGAGATGTTAATGATGCCATGGATGGCAAATGAAAACCTGAATATAAGTAGAAGATGAGTGCTAAAAAACATCAGTGGTAACGGTTGTGACCACTGAGCCACCTCACTTTAAAAACACAAAACGGTTCATTACAATTATCCTGGAAGGAGTTCACAAGCAACTAATCCAAATTTTATGAAGCAGAAACACACGGTTAGTACTGATTCAGAGATGTCGAGAATGGTTCTAGGAGAACGACACAACTTAAAACGTCAAACTTTCCAGGATAAAAAAAAATTAGCAANCTGACCAACCCTGTCCAACTCCAGTAAGAACCCGAACGATGATCACAAACAAAAGAGGAGTGCGTGTTGTAAATGAGAGATCAAAGAGTTGTGGTGTGAAGAAAGTGAGTAGTGCCCATATTAGTGTTGTTATACGTAATACCCTCTCACCACCAAACCGATCTGCAACTGCACCAGCAAACAACTGTGTACATGCATAGCCCCAAAAAAAGCACGATAAAACAGTACCCTGCAAGAAGGCATACGTCATTAACGTATTTCGCTCACTTTTGATGATTACTGCTTTTGAGCAGTACACAGAACAAAAAAATTGTATTGTGTATCTATACTTTAAAAAATCGATGGTCATCATATCATTTCGAAACGGTACATTCGGTCACGTGAACTTGAATGATTAAAATTTTTGTCATATTCATAAGATATTCTAACGGCATGTTGAACAGGAAAAAGGTCACTTTCCAATATGTATGAATGGATTAATGAAATCAAAGAGAAATTTGAACAAACCGCGTCATTCTTGTTCCACGAATACTCATGAGCGACGGCTGTTGCACAAAGCGGTAACGCAACACGAGAAGCGTAGAGTGTACACGTACCAAAGAAAAGATTTATTGACCAGATACGGCATTCGGATCTTCAATATCCATCAATTAAAGAATCATTTGAGCGAAACCGGGATGTTTTGTCGCATGTTTTTTGTCGTCATCAAATTTTGTCATACCCCGTTCTAGACTCCTACTTGAGACTCTCGTGTCGTATTTGTGGATAACTTATATTTTTTCCATGACTTCGGAAAACTTACGACCGTAGCCATCTGCTATGCAATGCCAAACAATTTCATTTATTCTAATTAACATAGCGTTAAGCTTAAGTTTGCGCTTCGGTTCAGATTTAGGTTTACTGCTCGCGATGCTGCAGGCTTACTGCTGCTGCTAGGCTCATGCTCGGAGCCGGGCTTAATTTGAGGCTTGCCGCAGG